CGCGGCGGGGGCGGGCTTGCCGACGGGCACATAGGGGCGGGGCGGCGCGGCGCAGCCGGGGCCTCGCGGGAATGGGCCGGGCCCGAGCCTGAATTCCCCGGCGCGGGCCACTTGATCCAGGCTGCTGGCACCCGGCCGCCGGTGCCCTCGGAGGGATCCCCTATAATAGCCGATTGCCTTTATCATCCCGTTTAAAAAGCGCTGGGGCAGTGAATCCACTGTGTCCCTCTGGCTTTTCTCTGTAGAGACCGAACACAAATCCGGGGGCGGCCCCACCCCGCCGTCCTAGCTGGAGAGCACTATAGGGTTGCCGTTTGCGGTTTGCAGGAACACTGGTCTGTGAGCCGCTGGCGGAAAAAATGCATGCTTAATTATTTTTAAAAACGCCTTACGTTTGGTCGTTCCAGCCGATGATTTATACTCTGTGCGGCTCTTAGCATTAAGACACAGTTCCTTTACTAAAGAATATCTGTAAGACATTAGGTTTTTTTTTTTCTTCATTTCATCCTATACGAAGCTAAATGCTTTGCTTTTTGGTTCAAAACTGGACAACAGACAACCACACCGTTCCCTGAGAAGCGGAAGAGGAAATTGAGCAGTATAAGGAAGAGAGCAAAGGCCCCTCCTGGCCCTGGGGATTCTTCATACCGACACTGCACCAGCTCTCTTGGTCCGCACAATAGCCCGGTGTGTAGGCAGAGCACACTCACTTGTGTTTCTCTGAATTGGAGCTATGTGATATAAATAGTTTCAGGCCCTGCTCTTCCGTCTTTCCAGCCCGGCCTCCTCATTGAAACTGAGCGTCTTCAAGGCAGGCGGGCTGTTTATGGCCCGTCACATGCTGTGTTTAGATGGGCTCTGTGACTGGAGTTTGGATGTTTTCTATCACTGAGTAACTTTCTACTTTGGAATATGTTTTCTTTCGCTCTCTGCTATTTTCATGTAAGCCCTGCAACAACTCTGTGAGGTAGGCCCACTTTATGGGAAAAAGTGAGGCACAGAGTATTTGCCCAAGGTTACCAAGTAAGTCTCTGAAGCATGGTAAATTAGTGTGAACCGTACGATAATGATACAGATAATTTATGACCGAACCGTGATGAGAATCCAGTCATGCTTTCTCCTTCCCTTGATCTCATTAAGCCATGCTTTTAGGGGCTGACAAACCAGTTCTTGTTGCCAAGTCCACCACTCTATCTACCCTATCCTTCTGTAAATCAAAGCCTAGCCTCTGATATCAGAAATAATTTATTTCTTTCAATGTAAAAGGAGACGAAGTTGTTACCCTTAGTGATGGTCACGACAGAACAAAACCACGAGACCACACCACATTTATGGATAAATATATTAGCAAATAAATACATTTCTCAACATAGTGCCTGATTCAAGCGTCTTTCTGTCTGGTTCAGATATAAAATACCCATGTGGGTGCCTAGGTGCTAGTCTTCCCACTGACTTTGGGGAAGAAGTTTCCCAAGTGGGGTCCTGTATCTTCTTTGCCCCCACATTCACATTCCAAATGGGATAATGCCTGAGGGGCCAGCAGTGGTTAGGCTACCCCAGGTGAATGTCACCCTAAGAAGGCCCCTCAACCCTGGCCCACTGGGTACAAGCTGCCCAGCCAGACTTCCAGCTCCAACTCCACTCTCACATGCACACCTTCCTGTGGGTCCCTGGCCTGTATGGCTTATACTGGAGAGCTGGACCTCTGGGCCCTCCGAACCCAAGGGTCACAATTTGCTTTCCCTTTTCCCTGCGCCCCATCCCTGCTCTGAGACAAAACTCCCCAGAGAAGAACTCTTTGTTGTTCCTGCTCAGCTGTAAACCTGCCTTTTCTACCTTCGTTTCATCCTCCCTCTTCCCAGATGACATCCAAAAAAATTCTCTCCTTTCCACCTATTTCAAGACTTTGAAACAGGAGTTCTTCAAGGAAAAGTTATTCCTTCCCCACTACCTCTACTCCCAACCCCCAGAGGAATGGGGGCTGCTGGAGTGACACAGGAGTTTAAAGGTCAGAGGCTTCATCCCAGGTTCTTCATGGTGTTGTACCCACTTCAGGGACATAACTTCACACTCTGGCTTCCCAGAGCCTCCTCTCTGACTTAATACAGTGGTTCTGACCATTTAAGAACAATTTAAGAACAAGAAGGGAGAAGCATCCTCCCTTATGCACCAGGGAAGGCACTGTCTGGAGAAGCTGCGGAGATACCCTTTTTAAGCCTCCTGGTCCTTTCGAAAAGAAGGAAAATGATGGAGCCAGGGTTGCCCCTGATGCAGGGGCCTTACCAGGGAAGCGTCAAAGCTGATGTGCAGACCTCACCTGAGGAAGGGGGTGAGAAGGGGTCATGCATTCAGCTGAACTCATTGGCTCCTATGAACATGAGGTCTCGGGTACTGCTAGGAGCAGCACCTTTGTAAAACCTAGACACTGATACCTAGATTTCTGCCCTCAAAAAACAGCCTTCAAGAGATCCAGCCCACATAGGCAGTAGCTGGTTGCCTGGCTGGGCACAGACTTGCTGTACTGCAGATGTGTTCTGCAGACAAGGTCTGGAGCTGGGAGCAGGAAACAGCACCTCCCGCCACCCACCATCACCACCCCTCTTCCAGTGGTTCCAGGAAGTAAGGCAAAAAGAGAGGTGCTTGCTGAGGTCTTCTCTTCTCCCAGGAGCAGGACTCCGTGCCAGGTAGGGCCCCGACCCATCCAGAGCACATTCTTGGTTGGAGATAGGCCTAAGCATCTCACACAGCTTGTTCACACAGCTCCTCAAGCTCTTCCTCCGAGCCTGCATTTAGAGAGAGGGGAGGAAAGAGTCATCAAGGGTCCCACCTGAGGGAGAATATGGCTGGAAGGGGACCACAGAGAGGGAATAGCAGGGAATATGTCCAGAAAGAGTGAGAGAAAGCTGAAAGATGCCCAGTTGAGACACAGGGGACAGCAAAACAAATCCAGAGAAAGAAAAACATATAGCAACCACTGTGTTACCAATACCAAACATATATAGCAACAAGTGTGTTATGAACACCAATTCATTCATTCACCCAGTAAATAGTTATTAAGCATTCATTGTGAGTTTGGCCAGCTACTATGTGCCAAAGAGAAGACCAGAAAGAATAAGCAGGGACCTGACAACCTTGCAGGAGAGAAGGCATGCATGCAAATGGCTGTCGTGCCAGTTGGATAGGACTGGTGTCAAAAGAGATGCATCACGGAAGGGGATGCGCATCCAAGTTCAGCAATCAGGAAGTCTTCTTGGAAGTGGCATAAATGAGCCAGTCCTGCAGGATATACGTAGAAACTGAATTTATGGGCATAGGGAAGGCAGCAGGATATTCTGGGCTGCAGGAACTACAAGAAGTGTTTACCCAGTTTGGCTAAAGCATGGGGCAGGGGAAGGGAAAGAGTGGAAAATAAGGCTTGGAAGGAAGATGGGGGCTTGCTGGTTCTGGAGCCTTGAGGCCAAATCAAGTTAGATTTTTCCTTTCTCTGGACAAAACAGAATGTTTGAAGATTTCTGACAGTTTATTGTAGGCAGGTGACCCTGGCAGCAGTATGGAGGTAAGAGCAGGGGGGCTGTGCTGCACAACTCTAGGGGACGCAACACTGGATGTGCAGCACCCAGCCTTCACGGCCCTGTAGGAGGGAAGAGAAGAGCTAGGAGGCTCCCAAATTGATCTGTAGGCTGTACCTAAGACACTGGAAGGGGCCATCAGTACTGGACTTGAGGAGAATATGATAAAGCTGGCAGACAAACAGTTGACAGAACCTGGCACTGACTGGATGTGAGGAGCAAGGAAAAGGGAGGTGGTGGTCTGGCACTGGCAGCACTGAAAGCACACACACGACAGGGTCCAAATCATAAGCACGGATGGTAGCAGCTCCTGATCCTGCCTGTAGGATTCCTAGACTGTGAGGTCTTATATTCAGGAGCTTTGGGTCCCCTTTTGGGGTAGACGGGTAATCCTAGCAATGGATGTAGACAAAGAGCTGTGTCATCCACACAATGGGACAAGAGTGGGAGGTGGAAGGCCCTGGAAGGTGAAGAAGGTGACGTATTTGGGCAAATAAATACCAAGTTAAAGTTGAGAATTTCCATTACCACCATTGGTTGTAATATAGGGACGCACTGAGTCCCCAAGAAAATGAAATCGGTCTTATTAACAAGGGTGCTTGGAAGGGAAGACTTACTTGTTCTTTTACCACAGCGGAGAGGAGAAAACCTAAGGACCCACAGGGCTTCCAGGAACCCCCTGTGGTTTCTATTTTTTTTCATCATTCATGTAGCTCTTCTCATATGACCTAGTGTTATGGTTATCTGTAATTATTTCTCCTATAAGATCATGCTCTCTCCAAGCAACACTTTTTGCCTTCTTTGTATTTAGAGATAATATTGAGCTATGAGCTTCGGTAGAGCTGTACCAATTATTAAAGTATTGAAACACTTTATTTGAGCTGCTGCCCCAAGCCACCCAAGGTGCCTTTCTAATGCCTCAGCCACAGTAGGACACTAGTACCTCCACTGTGGCCTGCCTGTGATCTGGCATCTAAAGGGATAGCAGCTGACAGAGCCACAGTGCCCCAGCACTCCAGCCAGCATGCTATGCTGTGCCGGTTGTCCAATATTTTGAATGTCACCTCCGTTGTATTTTTCTTAGCTTTCATCAACCCCTTGTTGACTGACTCCACCTGTCCTGCAATACCCAGCTCTAGCCTCTTCCCCCTACCACACCCACTTCCCCTGAAAACTCACCAGGCTGGGCTGGCAGCACCTGGCGGTGTGGGTAAGGGCATGGCCTGCCCTCTGGGGTGTCACAACTCCATTCAGAAGGCTCCTCCCCAGGTGGGTGTGGTCCCAGGGGTCGGCGTGGAGTCAGACATAACCATACTGGCTGTGAACTTGAGTAATAGGAGCCTGGGGTTTCTGGTAGCAGCCTCCTGTCCAGGCCCGGATGTTCAAAGATCAATGGGTGGGCCTCTGAGGACCAAGGGTATGCCAGGCTGGGGCTGTAATGGGGAAAAATCTGGCAAGCTGGGTGCACAGTCAAGTCCTGGGGCCGAGAGGCTGGCATGGGTTCTGAGGGACCCCCCTTCCGTTTCCTCTGTGGGTGTCGGACAGAGAGGCTGGATTTCTGCAGGTTGAAAAGATTGCTGGGGCTGGGGCTGGGGCTGGAGGCTTCAACTGGGTCAGGGGCTGGCTCTTTGAGGGTCCTGGGCCGTTGTGGGTTGGGGAGCTGCCCTGAAGGGCCTGTTGGGTTGGATCTGGTGACTTGCTGATCAGGAGAAGGTGGCTCTGGCTGGGGCTGTGTCCGAGGAACAGCAGGTCTGGACTGGGAAACCCCAGTTTCTGGGCCAGACTTCCTGCCATGCCACTGGAACCGCTTTTTGTGGTGATGGTGCTGGTGGCGATGGTAGTGGACATGGCTGGAAACCTTAGTTTCCCCTGTGGGCACCACTGAGTCCAAGGAACGGGGCCGAGAGGTCACGCTATGGTGAGTTTCCTCTCCCTGGGGATCCCCTTCAGGGCTGCAGTATACCAAAGGGTCAAAGTCACTGCTCAGGGAGCTGCGGAAGGTAGAGCTGCTGCCATGAATGCCCTGCAGGCTGATGTCTGTGCAGTTGACTACTGAGTCACTAGAAGAACCATGACAAGGCCCTGAGCTGGAGTCACTGGCTGGCCCGTCTGCCAGGTAGCCACTGCGTTCTGTGCAGTAGCTTTCTCCAGATCCACTGCTGTCATGAGGCCTGGCCCAGCGCAGGGGCACTGGGCAAGTGGCAGGGTGCTGTGAGGTGCATCGGAGGCGGCTTGGCTCCCAGCCCTGTGCATAGGAGTGCTGGGCAACTGCCAGGCGCTGCTGCTCTCCTGGAGCCTGGGGATGTGCAGCTCTGGAGAAGTGGTGGTGCCGAGGGCCCATGCCTGGCTCCTGGGATGGTAAGAAGGGACGAGGTCGTGGGGGCCGAGCCATTGCACTCCGGGAAGGGCCCAACAGGTAGGCAGCGGGGAGGTGGTAGTGGGCATGGCCAGGATGCTGGCGAATGAGGTGGAGTCTCCGGCCTGGTTCCTGGTAAGATCGAGAGGGTCCCAGGGACTGGGAAAATGAATCTCCCTCTGGAAAAAAGAACCAAAAGCACAGGTCTGCAGAGAATGCATTCAGAAAGGTGTGGCTGTAGCTAACCTATCTGACCCTGTGTAGCCTGTGAGCTCAGAGTGTGAGGAACCAAGGCCACACCTAACCTGCCTGTGCCCTGGGACTCCCTCATTCCCCACACGCAGGCTGTCTGTCCTGGGAGTTCCACTCTGCATGTCAGTCCCTGCTCCTCCCACAAGCCATTTGGGGCTCTTTCACCCAGGGCCACTGCTAGCCCATACTGCACCCTTGGGTGAATAAGAAAAACGTTCTCTTTCCTCAAGATATTTATTTCACTTTTATCTTTTAGATTGTCAGTCCCTGCTCCTCCCACAAACCATTTGGGGCTCTTTCACCCAGGGCCACTGCTAGCCCATACTGCACCTTTGGGTGAATAAGAAAAACGTTCTCTTTCCTCAAGATATTTATTTCACTTTTATCTTTTAGAAAATTGTTATAATATACTGATTTTGTTAGAATAGGATACTTTATTGCCAGAATAATAGAATAATAAATATACAAATCACCCAGATTTAGAATCAACAAAGTTGTCATAAAAATACAAATAATTTTTTAAATAATAAGACAGTAAACAGTGTGAATGGCCCTTCCCCGCGGATGAGGCGCCGCTTAAAGGACTACTGTGGCGGTCTGCTTTCTCCTCAGCTTCAAGGCAGAAGCCCTTTTCCAGAGGGCAGCCACATTCTAGACCCATCTGCCTGCACACAGAGGAGCCCTTGGCCCACCTCCTACCTATGATGTTGAACATGCAGAGGGGGCAAGTCTGATGTTGATGCAGCCAGGGGTCCACACAGGTACGATGGAACTCATGGAGGCAGGAAATGACCCGTAGCTCCTGAAGAAAAGAGGAAGAAAAAAGGGGGTCTAAACCAAAGGTTTCTATAGCCACAGGAGTAGCCAGGAAGCAAGACGTCCCCCTGACTTCCTTTGGCGTCTCCTTGCTATCACCTTGCAAAAGACCTCAAGGAGAATAGAAAAGGTATGGGCTTTGGTATCAGGTAGACCTGGATTTTGCCACTCAGCTGCATGACCTTGGGGCAAGTTTCTTAAGAGACAGTTTTCTGCTATAAAATGAAGGTTAAAAAAAAGGAATCTATCCTCACCCTTCACTGCCCTGAGGCTAAAATAAGATAATGCATCTAAGGTACCACTGCAGCCTGGCACATGGTACACTCTCAAACAAACAATAGTGCTCTTCCCCTAGGAGGCCAGGAAAGTGACAAGCGACCAAACCGCAGGGAGGATCTCCTCCCTCTGCCCCACGCAGGATACAGAGGACACAGATACAGCCAGGACACCCACACGAGCCCTAAGCCTTCCACCCATGGCCCAGCTTCAATCTGTCTCCCTAGCCTGGTCACAGAGGTGAACGACAAGGCCTGGCTTACCTGCCCCTCGGAGAACTCCTCCAAGCAGATGGCANATGTCAGTCCCTGCTCCTCCCACAAGCCATTTGGGGCTCTTTCACCCAGGGCCACTGCTAGCCCATACTGCACCCTTGGGTGAATAAGAAAAACGTTCTCTTTCCTCAAGATATTTATTTCACTTTTATCTTTTAGAAAATTGTTATAATATACTGATTTTGTTAGAATAGGATACTTTATTGCCAGAATAATAGAATAATAAATATACAAATCACCCAGATTTAGAATCAACAAAGTTGTCATAAAAATACAAATAATTTTTTAAATAATAAGACAGTAAACAGTGTGAATGGCCCTTCCCCGCGGATGAGGCGCCGCTTAAAGGACTACTGTGGCGGTCTGCTTTCTCCTCAGCTTCAAGGCAGAAGCCCTTTTCCAGAGGGCAGCCACATTCTAGACCCATCTGCCTGCACACAGAGGAGCCCTTGGCCCACCTCCTACCTATGATGTTGAACATGCAGAGGGGGCAAGTCTGATGTTGATGCAGCCAGGGGTCCACACAGGTACGATGGAACTCATGGAGGCAGGAAATGACCCGTAGCTCCTGAAGAAAAGAGGAAGAAAAAAGGGGGTCTAAACCAAAGGTTTCTATAGCCACAGGAGTAGCCAGGAAGCAAGACGTCCCCCTGACTTCCTTTGGCGTCTCCTTGCTATCACCTTGCAAAAGACCTCAAGGAGAATAGAAAAGGTATGGGCTTTGGTATCAGGTAGACCTGGATTTTGCCACTTAGCTGCATGACCTTGGGGCAAGTTTCTTAACAGACAGTTTTCTGCTATAAAATGAAGGTTAAAAAAAAGGAATCTATCCTCACCCTTCACTGCCCTGAGGCTAAAATAAGATAATGCATCTAAGGTACCACTGCAGCCTGGCACATGGTACACTCTCAAACAAACAATAGTGCTCTTCCCCTAGGAGGCCAGGAAAGTGACAAGCGACCAAACCTCAGGGAGGATCTCCTCCCTCTGCCCCACGCAGGATACAGAGGACACAGATACAGCCAGGACACCCACACGAGCCCTAAGCCTTCCACCCATGGCCCAGCTTCAATCTGTCTCCCTAGCCTGGTCACAGAGGTGAACGACAAGGCCTGGCTTACCTGCCCCTCGGAGAACTCCTCCAAGCAGATGGCACACATGGGGGCTGAGCTGCAGCTGCTCCCTGAGTCTGGCCACTCAGCCCGGGCCCTCCTGCAGCTGGCCCGGTACCTCCTGGTGGCCAGCTGGCTGATGGCCCAGGCTGTTCGCTGCTGAAGGGGATTCTGGGAAGAGGAGAGGGGCTCAGAATGGGGTGCAGTCTCCTCTTTCCTTACCCCTGGACCCCAGCGTGCACTCAGTTCCCAGTCACCCACTTAGATCACACAGTCAGTTGAAACCCCTGGGAGTTTGTCCCCTTGGAGCTCATACGTGGCTCTGCCAAGCGGGCCAAGGCCTCCCATTCCACCTCCCTGCTTATACCATTAAGCTTTTCTTCCCTTGATAACCATGAGAAAAACTTTTTATCTAACTTGACATCTCAACTTGGATATCTAATAGGCATGTCAAGCTTAACATGCCCCAAACTGAACTCCTAATCCCATTAAACACCCCAACCACACAGCCATCCTCTCCCAGTCTTCCTCATCTCAGTAAATAGCAATTCCATTCTTTTAATTGCTCAGGCCAAAAATTTTGGTGCCACCCTTGAGTCCTCTCTCACATCCCACAATCAATCCATTAGTAAACCTGCTGGCCTTGCCTTCAAAATATACCCAGAATCTAACTATTCACTGCCACCTCCGTAATCCAAGCCACCATTACTGTCACCCAGATTCCCATAATAGCTGTTTTCTCTGTTCCCAGCCTTGCCTCTCTGTGGTCTATTCTCATCACAGCAGCAAGAGTGATCATGTTGAAACATAAGTTAGGGGATCACAGCACCCCTTCTGCTCAAAACCCCACCACAGCTCCCATATCACCCAGAGTAAGAAACAAAGTTGTGACAATGGCCTGAACAGTCCAGCATGACTGGGCCCCATGAACTCTCTGTCCACACCTCCTACTCCGCCCTCTCACTCACTACTCCAGCCATACAGCCTTCATGCTGTTCCTCAGACATGCCAGGCACTCCACCGCCCCACGGCCTTTGCGCTTACAGTGCTCTGCCTCAGCTACTTTCTCCCCAGATACCTGCACAGATCACCCCCTCAACCATTTAGTTCTAATGTTATATTCTCAATGTGGCCTTCCCTGAACTTGCTTTTAAAAATTAACCTTGCCCCCTTGTATTCCCTGCTCCCCTTTGCTATTTTATTTTTCTCTGTAGCACATACTGCCATCTAAAACATTATATATTTTACTTATTTGTTCATTGTCTGTCTCTCCCACTAGAATGAAAGCTCCTTGAGGGTAGGGATTTTTTGTTGTTTTTGTTCACTGTGCTATTCCCAACACCTGGAACACTGCCTGACACATACTAGAAGCTCAATGTATTTGTGGAAGAAATGAATGAATGAGCAATATGGGGAGAGGCTGCTGGGTATTTAGCCTGCTTCATGGGCATAGCAATGCTGCCCTTCCTCACCTTCTCCTTCCTGCTGCCCACCCTTCCACATACACACGCCCTCCCCTATGAGGAGGTCCACGCTGCTCACCGGCCTGCTGTGGCGGGGGCGGCACTGGATGCGCAGCACCGAGGCCAGGATGACCACGAAGATGGTGCCCACCACCGTCAGGAGGATCCAGACATCATAATCTGGCTGGGGGGGTCAAGCAGAGAGGGAAAGGGTCATACTTCTGGAAGGAGCTGGGCCAGTGTAGGAGGAAATATGAGGCCAGGAGATACACAGAGAGCTGGAGGTCCCCTGAGTCTTCCATCTGAGGGGATGAGGAAAGGATGAACCTGGCAGTGGGGTTAGGTGATCCCTCTCTGCCCAAGGGCACTCACAGGAAAGTGTCTTCCAGATGTCAGCTGTAAGAAGTACTATCTGAAAACTTGTGTGCCTGGGAAAAAGGGGCAGGGACCCCTCTGCAAGGTGGGTGCTACTTGCCAGGGAGCAGCTAGATGAGGTTCCTAGCTGGAAGAGAAGCACCAACCAGGGATCAGGGGGCCAATGGGCTGGGGGCCAGGGTTTCATTCTGGCTCTGCTACTCCATGCCATGAAACCACAGATCTGAAAACAACTTTAGAACTCATCTGGCCTCATCTGTTCACTCTGCAGATGAAGCTCAGAGATGGGGAGAAACTTGCCCAGAGGCACACAGCTGATGGATGAAGTTGGACTAGAGGGTTTCTAGGGTCTCTCTCAGCTCCAGGAGTCTAAGGGCTTTCACGGGAGCTGCCACAGGACAAAGCAGAGGTGAGAGCAGGTGCTGGGGGAGGCACTGCAGGTCTGGTATGCCTACCCAAGCTGGGGGCTCCTTCAGCTCAATCCTCACATGGGCCTTTCGGTTCTTGTACACGAACTCCATCAGCTTCTCGGCATCATGACCCCAGATCAACACCACTGGCCAAGTCAGTCCCAGGGGCTGCTGCAGCTGCAGGAGGGAAAGTGCCCACAAGGACTGCTGTGACTTCTCTCGCCCTGGGAACTTTATCTTCTTCCATCCAGCCCCCTCCTGGAACACTCCAATGTCCCTGGGTACCTGCTCAGCAGCAGCTCGATCCTCAGTGATGTCAAAGAGGACAGCACTGGCTCCTCGCTCACCCGCCATCCGGGCCTGCAGAGACACACAGCAGAGTTTGGCTGGAGTCACTGAGTGACACAGCCTCCCATCAGCCCGGCCTCACCCTCTCACACATCCATCCCTTCCTAGGACTTCACACGCACCGCACTCCTGCACACTCGCTTACCCACATGCAAGGGGTCATGGGACTAGGATCCCCTGCCCTGCCACCTGAGCTCACCCAGGCCCCACGGCCTTCAAAGAACAACATTCAGGCCTTTCTTTTGTAATGAACAAACCCTTAACAAGAGTTACTGGGTACCAGACAGTGGACCTGGCTCTAGGGCTGGGGACAAATAAGATGTGGCCCACACCTTCAGGGTTCGATCAGTCTGCCTTCACTAAGAGGTGTGAGAAGAAAGAGTAGGAGTGACCAGAGTCCCTGGGAGGAGTGCACGGAGGAAGCAGGGAGAGTTCAGAATAGAGCCTGGGACCCTGTTCTCCCCTAGGGCCTCCACAGCACCATCTCACAGGTCCTCTCTCCCTGCCACGCTCTAGTTTGCCAACTCTATCTCTGGCTCCAGTCTGAGGATTTAGAGGAGTCCCTGTCCAGTGCTTTACCCCTTCATCCTCTCCCTTAGGGTAGCATTAGAGACTTGGGGGTGCGGACCGAGGGGCTGTTCCCACAAGGACACAACTATGCATACATGCACGTGCATGTTCACCATGGGCTCCAAGAGCAGGCCTGGGGGAGCTGAAGCCAGCCAACCAGGCAGAAGGGATAGCAGAGCCAGAAGGAGAACGAAAGGCAGGAATCTAGGGGGTATGCCTGTGAGGGCAAGAGAAAGGAGATAAGAGCTAAGGGGGGTGGAGGCACAGGGCGACCGACCGAACACAGACACTGTGAGGGAGCTGCTCTGGCCCTAGCATGGGGTCTCCTTGCCAGGCACAGCCACTCTCCAGCCTTCCTCCACACACGCCTGGGGCCCCTCTGAGTCTCTGGGGCCCTCCACAGGCAGGCAACGAGGGAGTTAAGCCTTCTGCAAGTGGTGGTGGCAGGAAGAGGAGCCAGTGCTGGGACTTACTCACCCTCTCGGCACTTTGATCTCTGCTTGCCTTTGCTTCCCAGGGAGAGCCTGTCGGGGCAGGTCTCCTGCCAGGCAGGCTGGGAGCAGCTCCTTGCTCCCGCTCCCTGCTCCCCACTCCCCAGGCAGTGGCAGGGGACAGGGGCCCCTCAGAACCTGCTGTCTTCAGGCCAGGGGCCAGGGGAGGGCGGTGGAGACACTGCAGTGAGCCCCCGTTTTGGTCAGGAGGGTATTTTCCCTCTTCCTTCCCTCCCTCCCTCAGAAACTGGGCTGTACCCTCTACTCACACCCAGGCCCAGACTAGGCCCAGGCTCGCCAGGCTAATTGACTGGAAGTTCACGGTCCTCCAGAATGGAATCATTGAAGAAATTGAGAGGTCACAGGCTCCATCTTCCCCCCACCCACTTCCTCCCAGGAAGTCCACCCCACCAAGGCTGCTCCAGGCACACAGAAGCTCTCCAATCTTCAGAGTTCTCCAAGCACGGGTATGGGAGCAGGACCAGAGGAAAAGGAGTCCCTGGTACGGGACACCTACTGGTAATCTCATATTCCCGGGACTTGGCTGAGGGGTGGGAGAGGTCACTCCAGCAGTCACAGAAGTGGGACTCCCAGGGCCTCAGCTTTCCCATCCCCAGAACAAGACCCTGGACCCAGCCTGGCCTGGAAGAGCATGAGGGAGGCCAAATGCTTCTTTCTTTGGAGATTTCCTTTCTTCCCCACCCCTCTCTCTTTGAAGCATTGGGGTAGGACCAGTGAAAAGCAATTACTGTGACATTCAAACACCCTAGCCCATTACAGCCCATAATTACAAAGCTGTAAAAGTGATCAAAGAGCCCAGAGAGTTGGCCAACAGGGGAAAACGAACAGGACTTCCAGGCAGTGGGTTCCTGCATCCAGAGTTCTAGAAATGAAAAGCAAGATTTGGGGACAGATGGCAGCCCAACCTGGAGCTATCCATGCCCCATGTCTACCTGCACCCAAGAAGTGCGAGGCAGGGAGAAAGAAAGTGCTTCTTCAGGGACTGGAATCTGGAAGGCAGAGAGAAGATGGGCAGGCCATCAGGACAGGAAGGTTCAGCTCCAGAAAGACAACCCAGAAACCTCTTTGGAAGTTTCAGAGCCAGCCCTAGGGGCAGCAAACAAGGCTGCCCAAGGCCTCTAGCAGCAGGAGTCATTCCAGAGAGAGCCGTGAGAATGAGCTGAAATCCTGTCTCTTACTCACTGGGCTCACCGGTCAGCGGCAGCACTTCTCTGGGCCTTAGAGTTTCCTCTCCAGACCACAGTCTCTGCATATCTCCTGCTCATCAAAGATTGAGCACCTACTGTGCCCAGGGCAGCAAGCCAGGGAAGGCCAGGCCCTCCAGAACAGCTCATAATCTAGTTGTGGAGACAAGGCACATAACATAAAACTATAATGCTGACATTCTAGAGCACAAATGAATAGAATAGACCAGTAATTTCCAAACCTTTTGTCACTTCAGAATGCCCTTCCCTCCACTACCCGCCCCCCCCAATCTGACACAAATCCTCAATATACAAAATAGATCAAAGTGAGGCAGCTCATTTTGGGGTGGGTGTGGGGTAGAAAGGACCCTTGGCCTCCCTCTACGCCTAAGGCATCTCCCTGACACCTAGATTTAGCAGAACATGGTGCTGAAAGCTTGGGCAGAGACCCTAATTGCTATAGGCGCGCTCTGAGAGAGGGATTCCTGTTCCTACTACGCTGGCTGGGCTGGGCTAGTCAGGAAAGACGCAATAGAAGAGGTGGGATTCACCTGGGCCTGAGAGCAAGGGTAGGTAGAAGGAGAAGGGACATAACCTTTATTGAGATCCACTCTGCCCAAACTGCCTGGGTTTGAATCCTGGCTCTGCCACCAACTATTAGCTGTGAGATTTTAGGCAAGTCACTCAACTACTCTGTGCCTCAGTTTTCCCTTCTGTAAACTGGGATAATAATAAAGCCTCCTTCCCAGGGTTGCTGTGAGGACTACATAAATTAACCCATGTAAAGCACTTATAATAGTGCCCGGCACATACTAAGTGCTCTTGAAGTGTTAGTTATTATTTTATCATCTATTACCATGTGCTTTGCATACGTGATTTTATTTTATTCCTCACTACTCTACAAGGAAGTCATCAGCCCCACTTTTGAGTCAAAGAAACTGAGGCTGAGAAAGACTGAATAATTTGCCCAGGGTCACCAACTGATAAGCAGTGGATGCAGGATTCCCACCCAGGACATCCACTTCCAGAGTCCCTGCTCTTAAGCACCAGGTAGTGGTCTCCACAGTAAGAGAGCCGGGGCTTTCCCCCATCTGCTTGTCTCCAGATATAGCCCCTTCTTCCAGGCAAAAGCCCACTGCACTGGCCTAGGCATAAGGTGATAAGGGCCTGGCTAGCACAGCCGTGGCTGTGGAGCTGCTAGCAGAGAAACAGAAACCGATCTGGGTGGCTGGATGGGGGTGGTGGTGGTGACGGGGGTGGTAAACAGAATGGGAGAGTTCAGAAGAATTACGGTAAGAATTTCAGAGAAGAGCAAGAAGGATAACAAATAGAAGGGGAAAAAATCAGCCTTGTGACTTCAAAAGCATGGGATGATGAAGTCAGTGACAATGACAGTACTAGTAACTGCGATCATTTATTGAGGCATTACTCTGTGCTTGGCACAGGGCTAGGGGCTTCCATCTGTTCTGTCTCACTAAATCCCTGTAACTACTTACGACATAAATCCCACTACTACTCCCCTTTTACAGATGAGAAAACAGAGCCTCAGAGGTGAGTGAGTGTCCAGGTCACACTGTGGGGCAGTGCAGGAGCCAGGCTTCAAACCCAGGACTGGCGGGAGAGCCCCAGCCCTGTCCATGGTGATGGCACCATTGATACTACCAGGAAGAGCCAGAGCAGAGCTGATTGGAATCAGCGATTTTGAAGCTTTTCCTCACCAAAGACCCCACCTTTCCCTTACACTTCCCATGAGCCATATTTAAAAATATATATGTTCTACCAAAATAACTACCTTTATTACATACAACTCATTTTCCTATGAGATAACTTGTGTTAACTCATTGAACTGATAGAATTTCAACCAAAAGCAAAAATGAATATTTAGTGAAGACTGTGGGACTTCCAAAATATTGGAAGTAGCTCAAAGACCCACATTACTACCCTCACAAACCTCCTTTGAGCTGAGGGATCCCAGGTCATAGCTACTTGGTCAGGTCAAAGGATGAGACCTGAGGGAAGCCTTAGACCTGACCAACTGGAAGCCACTGGTGGGCCTGGGGCTGGAGCAGCTCCCAGACTGATGGGCAGAGAAGCCAGGCAAGCGGAAGCCAAGGAGTGAGCGTGGGGAGGAAGCTAGGGCTGTGGTCGCAGGGCGGTAGCCAAGGTGCTCCTTCTAAACCCTTAACGGCTTCTCTCGTTTTGGTTTGTTTGAGCTCGGGCACTATTTGGCACTTGCCGTACATTATATTCATCCTCACGATAATCAAGGGAGTAGGAAATAAAGTCCCTTCCCATGGCGGTAGAAACAAAGGCCCAGCACGGTTAAGTTCCTCAAAGGGCCCTGAGCACCTGCTCCTTGCTTCACAGCATCTGTGTACACACCTTCTCTTTCCTCCAGAGGGGAGAAGAAAACCTCCTATGTGGCCCCATCCTAACGGTTTGCCTGGTTTTCACATGTATGTGAAGCCACACATACCACTTTAAAGAACAGCAGAAACTCTAGGTGGCAGAATTTTAGATATTTCTATGAGCTTATTTATACTCTTCTGTAAAGTTTCCAGAGTAAACTTATATTGCTTTTATAATAAGTAAAGAGAAGAAGAAAGAACAGCATGGTTTCTCTGAACGCTTCCTCCCGCATCTCTCTGCCTCTGTCACATGCACGCACACACACGCTCACATACTACCTAGCGCAGAGCAGGCACTGAGAACTTGCTCACCAAATGAACGAATGTATGACATTTGCCCATATTTTCTAAAGCAAGGGGGATGAAACATCCAGAAGCAGGGTAGCTTCAGCCTAACAAAATTCTGCTGCCATTAAGGACCCTCATGGCCTTGTGGACATGCTACGCTCCAGCTCCTCCAAGTGCGTCCTGGCCCCTGCTTCCACCCCTCCCTGGGGCCCCCTTCTGCATCAGCATGGCCGGGCCAGGTGAATAGCTTCACCCACCTGTAGGCACTGCATTCAGAATCCTGCCCACACCTTTGTCCCTATGGGATGAGGTAAGAACCCAGGCTGTTTCCTTGAGGCCCTAGAGATCCCCAAGGGATCTGGGCCTGAGTACAGTGAGCTGGCACAAAAGTCGGGGTGTCACTCTCCTCACTTACCACCCTGGGAGCAGGACCTCCCTTACCCAAGTACACCTGTCTGTGCCACACACAATCTAACCATACTCTGACTTTTATCACCATGACAATTTTTTACATACATTCATTTTTCCCAGTTAGCATGGGAGGCAGCAGGGCAGAGTGATTAAAAGCCCAGGTTTGAGAACTGGACAGGGTTAGGTTCAAATGTCACCTCCACCCCTTCCTAGCTGTGTCAACCTGGCAAGTTAACTTTTCTGTTCCTCACTTGCCTCAGATGTCAAGTGGAGAATAACAATGTCTACTTTCCTGATCTTTGTGAAAAGTAAATGAGATAATATACAAAAGAATCTGTCCCATATTCTACCTGGCACGTGATAAGCACACGGAGAACAGGAACTGCTATTACTAGTTAAAGCAGGGGTCACAAATGCAAATGTTTACAGGGCCCACCAGTAGCAGGCCGGAGTGGAGCACGGCAAACCAGAGAGACCACGGACGTGGCAAGGGGCAGCTCCCGCCCAGGTCCCGCCAATCGTGGTGTGTGCAAACATGGGGCAAGAGCTCCTGAGTTTTCTTCCAGAGAAGCTGAAAATCTGGGTTTCTGTAAGAACGTTTTCAATTTTTACATGTGGCAGTAAATTTACATTTTGAAAAGCCACTGTGAGGACTAAACACAACCGTCTGCCAGCCAAACCCAGCTTGCGGGCCACCAACCTCAGAGGGAAAGGGTGAACTCTACAAGGGTGGGGGCAGTGGCTTCTGTTTCTGCTGTTTGTGCCCAGTGCTCAGTAAGTGTTTCTGAAGGCTGGAAAAACCCTCCAACTGACTCCCACTTTGCTCTGGTGCCGGGCAGGGGAAGAGGCTTAGGAACTCCGAGCAATGGGGAGGAAGGAGGGTGGGGTGCGTGCTGGGGTGAAAGCCGAAAAGTTCTGCTGATGATGGTTGGTGGCGGAAGGGCAGAAGCATGAACTCCCACCTCTCTCAGCCCAGTCATGGCTTAGGAGAACCTGAGGCAATCGGGCACATCACTCTCAGGAGGCAAGGGGACCGGAGAGCACAGGGGTCCCCCGCAGCCTGGAGCCGGGTGAAGTTTCAGAGCGTGTGCAGGGTCAAGTGTGAATCTACCTTGCTGGCCAGTGACAGGCAGGGGCGTGGGGCCCGTCGGGGACTCTCCAGCTTGACGATGCTGATGAATCCAGGCTCCAGATTGTCATCATCACTGGCATTGCACAGATACAGGGGGTGGGACTGCAGAGAGAGAGAGAAAGACGGGTTAGGGAGGCTCTGGGGTGCAGAAAGAAGGAGCTGCGAGAGCCAAGCCCTTCTCTACTGTGCTAGGCAGGAACCAGGCAGGTCTTTATGAAAGAATGGGCTGTTATTGGGTTGCCTCATAGTGAGCGAGTAACCATTAGTTGTCATTTCAGAGGCGTCAGGGCCAAGGATACAGGGAAGTGGGGGCAGATGGGAGGGACGAGTGTCCCAGAGGGGGCCTGAATGAAGAGCCTGCTGCAAAGCAGCTGTAACAACCCTCAAGCCCTACTTTTTTCCAAACTGGCCAGATGCAGAGGGCTCTTCTCCCAGCCCCTCTCACCTCCTGGTCCTTCTACCTGCTCCAAAAACCCCAGGCTAAGAAAATATCCATGTGTTCCTATATCAGCGTCGTCACAATCTTGCCTACTCTCCTTGAAGGGTTTTTTCACTTGCAGCTGCCTGGCTTCTCTCACTCTCCCCCTTTGCCTCTGTCCTGTGCCCATCCTGGGATCAAGGAGGGTGCTGACAGGGAGATCAAGGAGGGTGCTGACAGGGAGAAGAGACTATCTTGGGATGGGGCCTGGCTAAGACTTAAGCCTTGGACAGCACAATTCCTGGAGCTCATCCTGTCCCCAGGAAAGATGCGGTGGAGATGCAGCCAGCTCAGCCCATATGCTCTGAGGGTGTGGCATGTCCAATCCAAGACCCTATGCCTCTAAGCCCAGCTGGTGCTGGACAATGACCAAAGGGGAAGTAGGCCGACATGTGCTAACAGGAACCCGAGGATCCCCTCATCAAAGAGACGAGGCTGCCTTACTATAACTCTCTTCCAACACCCATTTGAATCTAATTTTCCCAGAATAAAATGTTAGAGTACTATGAGAACAAAGTATGATTTATTTGGCCCTGGATAATCCTTTGGGCCAGGGACTCCCAGATGGTGGAAACCCAATGTATCCCGGCAAGAAAGGGATTTCCTACTAGGGAGCTGCTCCACACTTCCCTCTCCACTGCTACTGAAGTCTGAAGGAGTTCCAGAAAGAACCATCAGAGGCACCAGAGAGAATCTTGAATTTATAAATATGTTTATGAAGATAATAACATCAATGATGGACTTAAAAGCAAAGTCACTTTCTGAGAGCACTTTCAGGCTTCTTGCTCCCACTGTCTCACTGCAGTCTCTTGAACATAGTAGGTTTCCAGTAAATGTGTAAAACGCTCCACACTTCCCTCTCCACTGCTATTGAAGTCTGAAGGAGTTCCAGAAAGAACCATCAGAGGCACCAGAGAGAATCTTGAATTTATAAATATGTTTATGAAGATAGTAACATCAATGATGGACTTAGAAGCAAAGTCACTTTCTGAGAGCACTTTCAGGCTACTTGCTCCCACTGTCTCACTGCAGTCTCTTGAACATAGTAGGTTTCCAGTAAATGTGTAAAACCTAGTTTTGAACTGTATCCTTGTGAATAAAAATCTCTGGGCAGGGGTGTTGAGATGAGAGAAAGTTAGTGCGGGAGAAAGGTTATGCACCCCACCCCCAGAAAAAGGCTTGGGCATGAGGTCGGGTTGTTCTTACTTCAGTGAAGCTGTAGCCTCTGTCTCAACAAGCTCTATTAATCTGTCTGTCCATGCATCCATTCATTTCTTCATTCTACTAGCACTGAAGGCCCCCTCATTGCCAGGCACTGAAAAATGCACTGAGGATTCAACAATGAATAAGAGAGGCTCTTTGCCTTAAAGAAACTCAGAAGACAAGCATTGTACTGTGATGTTAGGATGCCAGTTTGTTCAAGGGCCTATGGGAGGCACAAGAAGGAAGGACTAACAATCTCACGTGGGAGAGCAGAGAAGTTTTCACAAGAGGTGACTTGAGAGCTTCCTTGGAGGTTGAATAGTTATGTGCTCACCTAGTGGACCAACAAAAGGGGGTGGGGGTGGCAGGAACATTCCTGGCAGAGGAAGCCACCTGTGCCAAGGCACAGAGGCCTGGGGTTGAGATAGGCTGCAGGCAGTTAGGTCTGCCATGAGAGGGAAGGCAGGAGATGAAGCTGGAAAGACCACAGGAGTCAGGCCACAGAGCAGGGACCACAGACTTGCATTTGAAAAGAATTTCCATGGTGACTACAGAGAAGAGTCTGGTGTGGCGAGGAGTCAGAATTCAGCTGCTCCGGCAGAACAAAAGATGTGAGCCCTTTCTTGAGGAAGGACAGACGACAGCCACAGAAGTCTGTGGCTTTGCTTGCTCCTCCATCTCACCACATGATCCAGCTTTCTTGCGATGTCTCCAAGATGCCTCTCACTGACCAGACGGTCAACTGGAAAGTCACTTTGGAGAAGAGTAGTCTGTACAGAAGATTTTGCAAATATTTAACTACCACTCCACCTCCAGGCCTTAACGGGGAACCAGCATTTACAGATCAGGACAACACAGTAGGTTATCTCTGACAAGGTGAAAGGGAAAAAAGCTGGTATCAGAGTCAGCAGACTTGCCTGGTTCTGCACTAATGACTACGGAAGAAGGAATGGGAGGAAATTAACCATTAGTAAATGCCTCTCGCATGCCAGGGCTTCAGATGTTATGTCATTATGAGGCAGTGTTATCATCTCCCTTTAAAGAACAGAAGCTTGAGGCTCAGAGAAGTCAAGGTCACACAGGATTAGAACTCAGTTCCATCCTCGGGAGTAATGGGACTCCAAATGAACACAGAGTACACCCTCCACTGTCCACGCTAATAATGATGAGGATGAGGATAACAACTGTTGATATTTATTGAATAAATACTGTGGGCCAGTGACGGTTCTCAGCACTTTTATGTATTAACTCTTCATCCTCCTAACAACACTATGAGATAGAAACTATTACTGTCTCCACCTTAAAGATGAGTAAATGGAGGCACTAAGAGGTTAAGTAACATGCCCAAGATTATACACCTAGTACGTGGCAGAGATCAGAAGAAATGGAAAGAAGTGGTAGAATAAGGTAAAAAAAAAGAACAATTTACATTTGACTTTGAAAACATGATACCTTCCCTCAACTCATGAGCAAGAAAATGTGCCTGTTGGTGGTGACCCCCAGGATTCTGTCCTAGAACCTCTGCTCCTCACTTTTCATGCTCTCTCTGGGTGACCCCAGCCAATCCCACGGCCTTGGTCTCCACATAAGAGGTCACGGATGACACGTGTGCAGCCTCGTCTTCTCTCGAGCTCCAGGCCTATGTGTCCAACAGCCCCCTGGACATTTCTTCCTGAAGAGCCTTAAATGAGACACCTCAAACTCAGCATGTCCAAAACTGAAATAATCATTCTGCCCCCAAACTGTTCCTTCTTGTTGGCATTGGAACCACTCTCGTCTGTCACTCGAGCCAGGTGCTGTCTTGTCACCCACATCTCCTTCACCACTGCCCCCAACCACCAACATCCAATCAGTCAGCAAATTCTAGCAATTCTACCTCCTAAATGTTTCCCTTACATGTCCTTCCAGTCTCACCGTGGGTACTCTAACACAGGCCATCATCATTGCTATTCTGATTTACTGAAATAACCTCCTAACTAGAGTTCCCTCGCTCCACTCAGTTCTCTGTATTGCAGCTAAAGTGGTCCAAAATGCTAACGTGAGCATGTTACCGCTCTCACAGCCCTCGGGATAAAGTCTGCACTCTTACACACAGCTTAAAAGGCTCTGCCTGGTCTGGGTCCTGCCTTCACACCTTGTCTTATGGCTTGTCATTCTCTCTTCTCATATGGACAATGACGTATTTGTAATGACCAGTGAGGACAAATATCAGAGGGATCCGTTGGATATTTTAGTTTTCATAAAAATCCTGGGGCTTTTGAGCAACTCTGTGGGAGGAAGTTCTCTTGAAAACAAATTTCTGTCCACCCAGTGGGACAGGACCTTGGACTCAGATTTAATTTGATAAAAAGAAAAAGTAACATAATATTTCTTGCACAGTCATATTTGTGGCATGAGAACCATACTCACTACACTTCTGTATGGTCTGAATCTTTTATAATGAGAGTTTTTCAAGTATTCTGATTAGAAACAAAAACGACCATTCAAACCAGGACTCTGTTGATTACCTAGCAAGGCAGTGTTAGCCTTCTTTGGGTACAACACAGAAGATGTCTTTGCCCCCTTCTCCAGAGGATGAATTTTCCATCAGAAAGAGGGCTCCTGAGGAGAAAACAGATCCAAATGCATCTGCCTTCTTGGGAGGCAAGGTTTCCTAATAACAAAGATGCAAACATAATTTCCACACCAGGCCACCTGTCCTCTCAGTGACACCAGGAGAGAGCCAAGAGAAATAAGCTTGCAGGGTTCAGGGAGGGTGTGGTTGGGGAGGGCTCATGGATACTTGGTGTGTTTAAGGATTGGTATAGTCTGCGCCTTCCTGAAAGGCCAGGAGTTGGGATGTTCCTGTTCCAGAGGCTGCCACAAGGGGCAAGTTAAGAGGAGCTTGCTCTCACATTCCAGGTCATTCTGACTCAGAACTCAGCTTTGCACACAGTTTATGCTGCTACAGAAAGACGTATGAACTATCATTTGGTGGCGTGTGTTGAATTTCATATTCTTGAGTATGTTCTCTCTCAGTCCTCCCTCCTTTTAACTCATTTGTTCTGATTTTTTCCTCCCTCCCAAGAACACCTAAGGTTCAGATTCTGACTCCCTCTTTTACCTGTTTGACCTTGGGCAAGTTTTAACCTATCTGAGCCCCATATTCTTCATCTTCAGAATGGGAACAAAAATACCTCCTGATTATCGTGAATACTGGAAATAATGGATATAAGTGCCTACCACAGAGCCTAGTAAGTGCTTATTAAATGCTAGTTGTTTTTATTATTGCATCTGTAATAATAAGATCTCTCCTCATTCCTGGAAGGGACAGAGCCCTTTCTGACTCCTTCCTCCCTTGGCAATCAACTGTGCCTCTAAATGCCAGCATTCCGCAAGGCACAGTCTGGGATAGCTCATTTTCCACGGTCACTACCCTCCT